TATATATATATATTTTTTTTTTTTTTACTATCATACATCAGTTAAAGTATTCTATTGTGTCTCTATTGGTATCTCTGATACAAAGAGGATCAAAGAGTTAATAAGGTTTTTCGTTGATACTTGGAGAAAAGGAAAACAAACTTGAAAGAAGCCTAAATACCCGTATCAAAAGCTGGAACACAATCGATTGTGCAACTTCTCCTGTGACCTATGCGTGCACAACCAAACCAGTCCCCAACATATTGCATTCATTTTTTTTATTTGATTATTTTGTTTCCTAATTAGCTTACAACAATTACTTGTTAGTTTTAGTTATTATTTATTTGCTTTCTAATTGGATTTATATTATCAATAAATACATCTCTTTGAAAATATTCTGTGTTTTTTTTTGGGTGCTACATTTATAATTCTTGAAAGTTAAAAGGATTTAGACGCTTCTTGATCATTCTATACTTCATATTGCGTCAATCTCGATGAATGACTGGATACACATGGCTAAACAAAACTTTCCACGCATGACAACTTTTCATTGAACGTGTAAGAAAATCATGCTTAAAGTTTCACATATCAAGCTCATTTAATAATCACAATCATACCCGAAATACAAGGTTCTAAATGACGTAGAGGTGAGGTTAAGTCTCAACTCTTAAGAGCCACAGTAATGCCACAACATTTTATTAAGACGAGACTTAAGGTGGCAAATCAGTGTATCATATATATGGTTTTGGGCGAAGGATCATGTGAGAAACGTAATAAGATATCTAAACACTTGATCATTGCAATATCACGCCCACCCATGAATTACGCGTTAGAAGGGAATTGATCCGGTGCACCTCATTGGTGTTGACCTTAAATTAGGATTGATCAAGGGTGGATATCTCTTCTTATGTTTTTCATCATAACTATACTTCTCACCGGAACCCAACCCTATAGTTTTATTTATACATATATGTTTTCTATTGTTACTCAATGACACTGAACAATTTAAATTCATATAAAAAGAAGAAAACCCCATATATTAATAATATATACTTTACAAATATTGTTATATCAAAATTTTATAACAATGTATGGCTATGGGGGATTAACGTGGTGTTAGAAATGCGACTCATACCGTGGTACGTCACTACACGTCTTTTAGAACCACGCTTGAACATCACACAGAAGTGTGTATTGGAGTTTAAGAATCACACGAAACTCACCTTGAATTCTTTTAGGCTAGCATATCCTTGCTTGCACATGACTTACATAGCATACAAGCATATGAGTGACTATATTGTTCATAAAACACATGTACTACTTACGCTTGGCGTCTTATACCAATCAAATCTTTGTTGATCAAACTTGAGTGAACACGACCTTAAGTTTGTGTTCAAGTCGCTTATATGTATGTGAGCATAAATAAGTTTGCTAGACCAGAGCTCGTATTGATTGGTCCAAGCAGTCTTGCGTATGAGCTTGAGTTCGTGTCGCTTAAACTGTGCGAGCTAAAATACAAGCTTTGACCACGGCTTGATAATTACAGTTGCTACCTCATAAATTCACCTTTGAGCCATCGTTCATCATACAAAGGTCTATAGTTGACCAATATATGTGCACTCAACACTGTTTTGAGCCTAAATCATTCAAATTAACTCTGAATTTCTCGCATCAAAACATCAACAATAGATATGGCTACCATTTGGCATACCAAAACACTACTATTAACAAATCTTGCCTTAATATGTATACAATCACTTATCATGCCTTAGAACACTTGTATGACGATTTGATGCTAAATAAACAGCCGTAGGACTTCATACTCATTCCATTTCGATACAACAAAATGCTACTACATGAAATGCTATTTGGAGTTGTGCTAAAACGTCAATTTGGATCAAAGTTATTACCTTGATCTTGCGGACTTGGTTTTGAAGCCTCAAGCACCATTTTGCTAACTTCTCTGATTCAAAACTACAAATTTCCTTTTGGGTGGTTGCTTAAGGACAAGAGGTTAATCAAATGGCAACTTCTGTCTTCAATTTGTTGCTTGATCTGAGCTTTGGTTCTCCGTGCATCAACGAGTATCAATCACAATATCTACATTCAGAGAGAAAATCAGATATCGTTTGAATCAAAGACTACTCGTAAATATCGAAAAGGATCTTGAGATACGTGTGGACAAGTCCAAGTAGAACAAAGATACAAGAGAAAATATTTGGCCAATTCTCGAACCTACAGATCAATTATTTTGTTTCATATTTACTTATAATATGACTAATTTTTTTCAACTGATCATCATAAAAAATGTATGATTATAAAAACAACGTCGATAAACCAAAATACCAATCACAAAAGGAAAACGTATTATCATATATTTACCAATATATTAAATAACGATGACGGATAATTAATTTAAGATATTATTTTTCAAAAGGGAACAAATAAATATTCAAGTGTCACATTGTTTATCCATCATGCTAAGATATTAATGTGTATATTATTCCCTACCCCAATTTTTTAATCAACAACATTAATTAACACAACATAAATAAATATTATTAATCAATTATGGTTGATGATACATTATTAAAATTCATAAAATGAAATATAAATTCATTCTCTGTCATCAATTCTAAACTTAAAAAGAGGATAACTGCAGATGAATAATTCTACGGTCATGTGAGTATAACATTAAGGGGGGGCGTTTGGTATAGATAAAGGAATGAAAATGATAGGGAATGAATTTTTATTTTCCCCAGTTTAAACTGAAATGAAAATTTAGCCGTAGGGAATGAACTTATTATATAATACTAGAAGGGTACTCACACAATGCAGCAATTTACATCTCGATTTTAATGTTTCATTTTTCTTTCTTTTGTCTCACTCGATGTTATAATATGGTTTTATATGGTTTTGAGAAAAGATAATGTTTTTATTTTTGAATAACATATAAATATGAAGATATCATAAAGAATTGAAAAAAAAAATATTAATATTAGTACCAAACTAACTACTTAAAATTTATCTTTTTTTGTATTTCTTTAATTCATTTTTTTATTTTTGGCTTAATAATATATATTTTTTTTATAAAGATAATAATCAAGTATTTTGTTAGAATTCAATGATTATCCTAATTATCTTCTAGATCTTTTATATCTAAAATGAATGTTTATCATCTAAATTATGTTTATCAGCAGTTAGTTACACGATTTCAAACATGAAACTTTAATAAGTTATACTTACACATAATTACTTGTAATCTTGAATTTTAAGTAATATGCATCAATAAAATGATTTTTAAGAGTTTTTTTTCAAATGTTTTATAATATAGTATAGATAAAACCAAACATTTTCTTTTATTTTCATTTTCATTCATTACTGCTTAATACTTCTAACCATATTACATAACACTTACAGAAAACTCAAATAACAAGAGATGGTTACAAATAAATAGGTGTATACATATACAACCTTTGGCATTAAATGTTATATATTTACAAAAAACCCAAAAAGAAAAAGATGAGTATTGTTTTTGCTGAATTTCCAAGAATGTTACTTAGAGAAAAAGAGGAGGCTTTTTCAAGTCTTTATTACAAACAAATCCTTAATTCCTCTTCTTGTCACATTGTCTTTAAGCAACACCAACCCTCCCACGGTAATGTATGTAGTAGTACTTTGCCATATAGATTTTCATTCACCTCTTTCTTCTATCCATCTTTGCCAAGTATATATCGCGAAACCCTTCTTTTTTGCATGCTTCAATCATCCCAAAACAACACACACATACACCAAGAACACACACTAAAACCATCAGGATTTCAACTGTTCTTTGCATGTTCTTTGTTGCCATTACTTGTTTACGATCTCTTTATCAATGTTTTGAGTGTTTTCGGGAAATGGGTGTTTGTTTTTTTCACGAATTCTAACTAAAAGTATTTGATTTTGTTGTTTCAAGATTGTAACATTCGTGGGTTTTTTCAATCGGGTTCTCTGTGCTCGCTGATGGGTCCTATCAGAGGAAACAAAAAGAAAAGGAAAATAGAGTTGAAAATCGATAATGAAAATGTTTTGGCTTCTGGGTCTTCTGAAGAGGGCTCTATTGATTGGTGGGATGAGTTCTCCAAACGGATTGCTGGTAATTTTTGTTCTTCAAATCATCAAACACTTCCAATTTTGCTTTTTTGAATGCTAATTTTGTTTGACAGTTTGTGTATCATCAATTTAGGTGAATTTAATTTGTGGGTTTTGCCATGCTCTATTTCTTGATTGATTTCCATGTTCTTGAATTGCAAATGCATATTGATTGTTATGAGAAAAGATCCCTAATCTGCTGCTTTTTTAGCACCTCTAGTTCATGTTCTTGACCTAAAACTATGATTGCTAGATGAAATTGTGCTTGAAACTTTATTAGGGAATTCCATCTCTCCAGTACTAACTTGAATGTGATGTTAAGATCCTAGATGCAATCAATTTAGGGTAATGTACAGTTTTTGATAACCCCCACTGGTTTCCAATTGTATGTTAAGTGATCTTTGTTAAGGGAAACAACTAATCGAAGCTTCATGTATCGATAAACATCTAAATAACCCTCAATAATCGTGTCTTGAAAAAGATTGGGAAAGTCCTGGTCATGTAGAAGTTTATCACACTGTTCATACATACTTCTTCGGTTTCGGAGAAGAGTTGACATTTGACTTTGGAAAGTCAAACACACTACTTTCTTGAACTTAAAGTTCATGCTTAAGCTAGGAATTCCTCTACATTTTCACAAAAAAATTGTCTAGTTGTAGTGTTCATTACATGGTTCCTGTAGTTTCAACTTGTTTTGATCTTGACATTGAGAACTTCATGTAAAATTTAAGTTAATTGGTAGTTTGTTTGACTTCCGTAAGGCATTTTTCTTGGGATGAGAACATTCTTTTAGTCATTGATCTTAGCAATTAGAAGACCGCATTCACCTTATAGGAAGAAACGGCCAATTTAGGTTCCAAGAGATCAAGATGTCAGCTGCGTTGCTAAAGACATTGCTATATGTTCATCTTGATTATCAACATGTATTAGCCGAAAAGTTTTCAAGGGTCTAGTTGGTTAAACAGTATGCATCTTTTCTTTGCCGTCCGATCCAAAATGTTAGTCCTTTAAGGTTCTGCTATTTTAGGGATTACTGATTTTGTAACTCTTTTAAATTTTGTTCCATTTTGTGTTTGTAAGTAATGCACTCCACACTTCCTTCGTATAGTAAAAAAGGTTTAAGGGTATATAAGAAAAAGTATTATCCAGCTAAACGACTAATGTCATGGAAAGGTCAAACAAAGTTCTAAACACCATATTGGAACAGAGAGAGTAGTTTACGGATTTGTAATCTGTACTCCATTTGTTCCAAAATGTTGGTGCATTAAGGTTTTGGCACACTGATTGAGTAATGTAATTGGTATGGCTTAATACACAGTTAGCATAGCATATTATCCCATTTTTACCCTTGTAAGTTATATTCAACCTTTAAACTTCCTTCATAGAGAGAAAGATAAACCAGGGGTGTTTAAGGAAAAGTATTATATAGATGCCCAGAGATTAGCCAAGCATAATATAAATCAGAAGCTTAACAATTCTGAAGTAGCTACCATATAGGAACGTAGGGAGTGCCTTACAATTCTGTAGTTTGTACCGATTCACTTATGAATTCATTGTACTCCCTACGTTCCATAACGTTAGTCATAAGTTTTGACACACCATTTTTAGACTGTAATTATTAAAATCGTTATGTAGCCATTGTTAACTTTTATCTCTTTTTACCCTTCATGTAGACAAATATAGATTAGGGAGAGTATTTAAGGAAAAATACTATCTAAATGTTCAAATATGTATGGGTTCCACAAAAGAAAGCTCATTTTTATAGAACTTTCTTCTATTATATATCATGGGTGCATTTAGATTTCAAGTATTGTTCACCATGCCGGTTGATGTTTTGGATCTTTCGTTCTTGTGGTAATCACATACTAAAAAGGTCAAATTTCCTACATTTGATTCCGTTCTTTCTCCTGTGTTATCAAACCACTGAATCCATCCCCCATTTTCATCAGACAGCTTTAGGTACAAGTAATTATGAAAGACTACTCTACCAATATGCAGCTTAGTTCTCATTTGTGGGCGTTGACCATTTTTCTGTTTAGTATCTTGTTGTGGTATGAGTGAATTACAGATTTATCGTAATGGAGGTATGAAATGAAGAACTTCATGTTAAAAATTGACAGTTTATCGTAATGGAGGTATGAAGTAGCCTGGGGTTTTATGGAAACAACCGCTTGGCTCTTTAGGGTAGATGTTAGATCTGCCTACATCCCCCCCCCCCCCGGCGCCAACACCAACAAACATACCCCATTTAACTAACTAATGCTCCCTCTATGGCCTTAGGCACTTGGCTAATACTCAAGCATATTTGCCGAGTCAAATGTTGCAACATATATGAAGCGCAATTTTGTTTTTGCCTGTGTGTGATTATTGATCCTAACTGAGTCAATTCTGATTGTCGATATTCAAGTTACCTTATTTTTCCATGCTACATTCATCGATCTCATTGTGGATTTATGCGCAATCCTGATTCCCTCATATGGCAAATACTTGCACACCCATTGATGTCCTTGATAAAACTTGAACCCCCAACCTCATTTTTGGTGATTGAACTCGTATATTCAATGCTCTTAATACGAGTGGGTGGTTATGCTTAGAATGACATTTCTCTGTGGTGCTCCCTTTGTCATACATAGTTGAAAATAAGTAACTCAAACCAAACCAAACCAAACCAAACAGAGCAGTAAATCCCAAAAGAAAGTAAGGTCGGATGTAAGCATACATTTCCTCTATGCCAAAGAGTAGAGAGGTTGTTTCCGTGAAGACCCTCAACTTGCGAGAAGTGTTTGTGAAAAGGTTTTGGAGAACCCGAGAGCTTTTGAAAAGCAGAGAAGACCTTGGCGTGAAAATGGTAAATTACGAAGATTTCTAAAAAGAAGAAGACTAGTATACAGAAGAAGTTAGACAAATATGTGCAATAGTTTAAGATAAGTGTTATAGTAAAATGTCTTAAATACCCTTCGATAATGGAAAACCAGCTAGAAATTCTTGGACAAAATGAATATCATTAGTACTTCTTAATGATTACCTTATGCATATAGGCAAGTTTAATATTTTCCATGAAGGGAAAGGTTGCAAGTACTTTGGGACATCCTAGAATGAAATGTTTGCCAACCATTTTGAGAAGGAAAGGAAGGAGTAGTCGATACGAGATGTAGATGTGTCATAAAAATGATATATGAATATCAAAGATTATGCAAATAGGAATATCAAAGCTTATATGAGCAAACCAAATTTAAGATTGTAAAAACCAAACTAAGCACACCCGTATGTCCCACTCAGAAATAGGTCTATGATGGCGGTGGGATGTATGCAGACCTCTCATCTACCCCAAAGAGTCGGTCCCATTCAGAAACAAGTATGGGGTTGAAATCTATGCAGACCTTTCATTTACCCCAAAGAGTCGGTCCCACTCAGAATTAGGGTATGGGGGTGGGACGTATGCAGATCTGTCAGCTACCCTAAAGAGTCGGTCCCACTCATAAATAAGGTATGGGGGTGGGATCTATGCAGGCCTTCCATCTATCCCAAAGAGTCGGTCCCACTCATATATAGGGTGTAGGGTTGGGATGTATGGAGGCCTTTCATCTATCCCAAAGACACGGTCCCACTCAAAAATAAGGTCTCTTGGTGGGATATATGCAGACATGTCATGTATCCCAAAAAGTTGAACAACCTCTTTCCATGTAGACAAAGTTTAGACTCTAAATGTCGAAAAGCTAGGACCTTTCCAAATTTCTTGGAGGAATTGTGCCAACTTATTTCCACCTCTTTGCAGGTTCGGTATCTCCATCAAAAGGTCTGGACCAATTCGAGTCGGTGTTCAAGGTTTCAAGAAAGACGTTTAACTATATATGCTCACTAATAAGTGAGCCGATGATGGCCAAAACCACAAACTTTGTGTTCTTGAATGGCAAATCAATGTCTTTAAATGATCAAGTAGCTTTGGCTTTGAGACGGTTGAGCTCTGGCGATTCGTTGATAGGCGTAGCCAACTTCTTTGGCACGAACCACTCCACCGTCTCCCAGGTCACCTGGCGGTTCGTGGAGACGCTAGAAGAACGTGGGCTCCACCACCTCCAATGGCCGTCGACCGAACATGAAATGACGCAGATAAAATCCAAATTCGAGAATATCAGAGGCCTTCCAAATTGTTGTGGCGCAATCGATACCACTCACATTATGATGTTGCTGTCGACATCGGAACGAACAATTGACGTCTGGCTCGACCGTAAGGACAACCATAGTATGATCTTGCAGGTATGTAAATTGATGCCTTTTTGTTAATAAAGGTTCATATTTGTTGTTTATACACCCTGAGACCCTACTTTCGGGTGGGATATTCAAGGTCTGTTCGGTTTGATTTGGTTTATTTTTTGTTTTATACACCCTACCGTACCTTCAGATGGGAAGGCGGGATATACTGGGTCTATTTGGTTTGGTTTATTTATCGTTTATACGTGAGTGGCCGACGTTTTGAACAATCGCATTTTAGTGTAACAAAGGATTTTTTTTCTCGATGTAACGAAGTTCTAAAATTTACTATTTAATGTAACACGTTTCAAAATTTCCTATTTTGAACCCATTTTGACTCGCAGCATGTTGATACACTGATCTTGTAACATTTGATAACGTGGATGTCAAGTTTATTGTCAATTCCATCTTAAGCATTTCGTAAACGGGTATCCACGTCATTAAATGTTACGGGATTAATGGTAAAAAATGGATACATAATAGGAAATTATGAAATTTTGTTACAGAAAAAAATTATTTGTTGTTAAATTGGAACTAAATCAAACTTTGTTGCATTTTGATGCATTTTGCCGGGGAATTTAATTGTAAATTATGCGTATATGCAGGTGATTGTGGATCCCGACATGAGATTTCGTGACGTAGTCACGGGATGGCCCGGGAAAATGGACGACGCATCTGTGCTACAGGGATCGACTTTCTTCGATCTAGCCGAGAAAGGAGAGCGGCTACAAGGGAAGAAACTAAAGCTTTCGGAAGGAACTGAAGTTCAGGAATACATAGTTGGAGACTCAGGTTTTCCTCTACTACCATGGCTCATAACTCCGTACCAAGGACGGGACCTACCCGAAACAAAATCCGAATTCAACAAACGCCATTTTGCAACGAGATTAGTGGCTCAAAGGGCGCTGGCACGGTTGAAAGATGTATGGAGGATGATTCAAGGCGTGATGTGGAGACCTGACAAGCATCGGTTACCGAGAGTTATTCTGGCGTGTTGTATCCTTCATAACATCGTGATCGATATGGAAGATGACGTGTTGGATGAGTTGACTTTCACTCATCAACACGACTTGGGTTATCGGCCCGAGGTTTGTGAAACAGCCGACAAGAATGCATCGATCTCGAGGGATAAGCTCTCGCTTTACTTGTCGGGAAGACTGCCTGCTTGAGATTACGTACATTTGACTCAAAAGAATTTGTATATTACATAGCGGAATGGTTAAAAGTTTTGAATTTTAGATGTTCGTTTTTCACATATATACATAAAGCGTATTGCGAAAAAGGGGTTTTGTGTAGAGGTTTCATTCGTCACCAGGTTCAAAGAACAACAACGTCGTGATGCTAAGAAATATTTTCACGTAAACAATCTCTCTATTTCAGGAACGTTGTTTCAAGTCGAAGGCGTTGTGTCAAGTGAACGAGGGTCGGTGACATGTTTTTACGTTTACGTTATATAGCACTCGATCAAAATGTCTTTCCGTTTCTATTGAGACGATATTAAAAACTAGGGTCCGTTTCGTATAAAGACAAACCAATTTAAAGTGGTATCAATCTAAGTGGTCGGTAATACCGTATCAGCTGCCTTAATTTGATTGGTACGTGGTATTAAAAATAATGTATCACAGTATTATAGTATTATCTAATTAGTAATTGCCAGATAAATTGTTTCATACTATAATTTTTTATATATTTAAATATCAACGGTTAACGTTTATTGAGTTAACTATTTAAAGCGTTGTTGATAATTACTGGAAAAGTAACACGTGGAAATCATTTAAGTGCGCTACTTTTAACCGTAAAAAGTCAAAAAAGAAAAGAAAAAAGAAGGCCAATAACACACACAGTAACTGCCAAATGGAGTTCCTACCTACCAACCAAAAATGTTGAAATTATTACTACAGCAAACTCACAACCCAAGGGTCTGATTTGCCACTTTATTTTATTTTTTTTATTTTTATGTACATTGACATATATTTATTAATATTAAAATCAACGAGATACATCTTGATTTAATTTTTATTTTATTTATTTTTATTACAGACGATATTATAATACGGTTTTATGTGGTTTTGAAAAAACGATAATGTGTTTATTTTTGAATAAATATAAATATGAATATATCATAAAATTTTAAAAATAAAATTGTTATTAGTACCAAACTAATTATTTAAAATTTATCTTTTTTTTTTGTATATTTCTTTAATTCATTTTTTTTATTTTTGGTTTAATAATATAAATTTATTAAAGATAATAATTAAGTATTTTGTTAGAACTCAATAATTATCCTAATTATATTTTAGATTTTTTTATATTTAAAATAAGATGTTTATCATTTATTTGATTATGTTTATCTGCAGTTAGTTAGACGAATTCAAACATGAAGCATTAGTAAATTGTACGTAGCCACAATTTACTTGTAATATTGAACTTTAAGTAATATGAATCAATAAACAATACTTCATGTATAATAAACGGTTTTTAAAAGTTTTTGTTAAATGTTTTATAATATAGTATAGATAATCATTTTTAATACATATTAATTCGTTTAATTAATTTGTTAAAATTTGCATGTTTTATGTCTTGTTTCAATTTAATATTTTTTGTGTATATTA